TCTAGAGATTTCTTCCATTTAGGCTTCACGAGCTTCACTTCATAGACGGGTTTTAATGCCCCACAACACTTGGTCCGCAAGGTACACGTCGTCTTGTTTCCCAAGTTATCTCTAATATTCTAGATAACGTGAAGCCCAGAAGAAGAATATTCTAGATCTCTACATTACTTTTTGTACAAGATATTTCCATTATGTATTAAGAAAATTTACATTATATGGTGTTAGCAAATATGTTAAGCTAATCACTATATATATCTATCTTATGTTCTTGTATCAAGGCAACTCAATACAATATTCTATTCTATAATATTTGACATGGTAGCAGAGCAAACGATCCTTGTGGATCATAATTAAAAGCTTTCGCATTAGAAACCCTACGATCTCACCTTCAAAAGAGATCATGGGGGGTTGTGATAATTGGAGGAGACGACGTTGAAGACGGTGGAGAAGAACCCCCCGATGGAGATGATGATGTGAAACAATAAAAAGTTTAGTTTGATGTCAACGTGATTATTTTCCTCGGGATTTATAGTTTTGGTTTTCATGTCACRTTTCTCTTTCTTCTAAATTTGTTCTAGTTGGTTTTAGCAAAATATTATTTTATGATTTGATTTGGTTTAGTGCGAGAGATATCGAGAGTTAAGRTTAATTTTTATGGTTTTACATCTAGAGTTATCGAGAGATCTAAGTATTTTCGCATGGTGTGTGACACATGGTTTGGCTTTCACGGGTTATTATTTTATTTTATGAGATTTATTMTTAAGTTTAGAATATCTCAAAGTTTGTGTTTTCGTTTCTCCTATTACGGGGGAGTTTGGTTGTGGTTTTAGGGAGTTCTAGTTAGAACGCTCATGTTCTTTAGGTCAATAATTTTTTCTTTCTAAAGTCCGATTTGTGGACTATCCGAGTGAAGGACAAATATTTGTGGAGTTGCAAGTTGCACCCATGGGATGTTTTTCCCTTTGTTTATCAAGACCAAAGACGAGCTGAAATTTCATCCCTATTTTGAAGATTGAAGTTTACACCCGGAGGAATCTGTTGACTTGTTTTGTCCGTCCTTGACAAGTTGTCCACGACATACGTGTTTCGCTTGATGATTTCGCATACCACGTTTGTCGTGCAGGGGAGTATTGGAGATAGTTTGGGGAGCAAGACGTGTAGCTTGCGGACCAAGTGTTTTGGGACATCAAAACTTGTCTATGAAGTGAAGGTCGTGAAGCCCAGAAGAAGAATATTCTAGATCTCTAAATTACTTCTTGTACAAGATATTTCCATTATGTATTAAAAAAATTTACATTATATGGTGTTAGCAAATATGTTAAGCTAATAACTATATATATCTATCTAACGTTCTTGTATCAAGACAACTCAATACAATATTCTATTCTATAATATTTCATATAGGACGTTACAACAAAATGTCTCTTAACGTTTCTTTTAAGTTCTTCTATATAAAATAATTTGACGAAGACTCAGACAAATCAAACGAGTCCGACAAGTTGATGCAAGACTTGGACAAATCAACCGAAACCGACGAGTTGACGCAAGACTTGCTAAGTCAC